TTCCTGTGAACTCCTCTCTAAGCTTTTTGTCCATCCAAGTTTATGCAGAACCAAGGGAAATCCTGGCTCCATTAAGTCAAAGAGAATATTGCTACTGGCTTCAGTGGGGTCAAGATTTCACTGCAAGGCTATGACCTATTTTGCTGTCTGTTTACAGAGGACCCAAATCAGATCTATTGAGAGTGAGTCAACTAATTTAGCATGCATAGAGTCCCATCTGCCTACACAGACAAAATTTGTCCATTACCTTCTTCTGTGTCAACACAAATGACATCTGCTTCTGTAGTGGCTTACTCAGCCTTTAGGACTCAGTGGCAGAATGGTTAAGGTGTCTCTCTATGGCCTTCTGCTAAAAGCTGCTCCTAATCGACCCAGCTGTAACTGGGTACCTGACCATTAAAGCTGGGAAGCCAAAGGTGGCTAGACATGATACTAGTCACAGAAATTGGTGTGTGTGAACCACATAGCCCAAAATACCACTAGGTTTGTATGGACTCTGGAGTTTTTAAAATTAAGGTTTAAGGTGGAATACTGATCCTACTGGTCAGAAAGAATTCTGCTGTTGATTTAAACAGGCTGGAATTTTACTCTTAACAATCTGGTCTAATTTGGTAATTGAATTAGCCTGATATGAAATTTTAAATAAACAAGAAGTTGATACAATTTAATAAATAGGAGAGGGGGAAAGGAAAGAGGCTTGTTAAACTTTCCATTTATGCACAGTGAGCTCAGCATTCCAGACAAAGTGGCCAAGATGAAGGAGTATCTAGATCATCTTGGGACAGGAGCTACTGTTTTATATAACCTTCTTTTTGAGAACAGAGGAAAAATATTCCTAGCAGTCCACTTCAAATTCCCCTTAGCAGCCAATACTGCTCTCTCAACCAGAGGAGTCAAACTCATCTGGCCCCACAGGCTGGATGAGTAATGTGGGGCTGGTCCACAGGCTGGATTGGGACAATGGGCCAATGGACCTCCTCAACCCCATTCCCCCCAGCCCCCCTCAAGCCAGATCCAGCACCCTGTCTGGCTGTTCCAGGATTGCTGCCACCTGTGGTTGCCCCCAGCACTTCATCTAGGACTGTGCCACACATGCTGCGTGCTGCCAGAATGAGCCTTGAGTGTGGTGTGTGTCCTGAACCCTGCACTGGGCCTGTCCAGATCTATTCAGACCCAGGGACAGCACTGGGGGTCAGATAAGGGGGCTCCACGGGCCCCCTTAAGGAATGATGAAGATCCCATTACTATTTCAATTGGTGGCAGAAATATATTAGTGTGGATCAATAATTTGACACCTGTTGAAATGACACAACCACTGCTGGTTCCTAAACTTGTTACTGGATGAAGAGAGGTCACTACTGGCCCTCTGGAAGGCTCAGCTCAATTCTAAACACTCGCTGTTTCCAAACGGCGTGTAAATTGTTACTCACAGAAGTAGTCATTGTTGAAAATGCCTTGCTTCCCAGAGTCCTCAGGACCCTTGACACATGGCTTTTCCCCATGTTCAATCAGCAAGACAATGTCAGGTCTAGTGGCAACATGTCCTGTGCATGGGAAAACAGAATTGAAGGTACTTACTCTGGCCTGCATAACCATAGTACCTGCACACCTTCCCACCATTAATGTATTTGTCCTCACATGTCACTGTGTAGTAGGGCAGTATTATTATCTGCACTGTACGTATGTGGAATCCAGGCTAAGTGACTTGCCCAAGGTCACAGAGGAAGTCTGTGGCAAAGCAAGGATCTCCTGGGTCTCCTAAGCACTGGGCTACTGTGCTAGTCACCGTGCCATTGTACTAGTGCTCTACAGGCTCTTCTCACTTGGAGTTCAGAAATCATTCAGCATTCTGCGACATTCTAAAATACTGCTGTATGCGCTAAACAGGTGGATTAGAGATGCAGGCTGATAATGAGGATCCTAAGGTTAGAGTCTTATGGACAGAGAAAAACTGAATAGTTTGCCAAAGTCTCAAGTACCTCCATGTGCTTCTCACAGACACCTGTCCATGTGTAGCTGAACTTTGTCTTAGATACGGCCCTTGGAAATGGTACTGTACAGCACACAAGGAGCTCTCCGGGGTGGCTGCCAGACCCCTCTATTAGGCAGAGCTTGTACAGCGTGACTTGCGGCTCTTTGGTTTACTGGGAATGAAAGCTTTTATCAATAAGCAAGCAATATGCATTACCCAGTGCGACCAAAGCTTCATAGTTGTCCCTCATCACATCCTGGTACAGCTCCTTCTGCCACTGGGCCAGCTCCTCCCACTCCTCCTCCGAGAAATAGACAGCGATGTCATCAAACGTTACAGGGGTCTGCAATGAAAACGACCTGTAAGCAGCCCCAGCGCTGGCGGCTTCAGGCGTGTTGTCACCGGAGCCCCGCGAGGGCGCAGGGATCCCTTGCCATACTGCAGTGCTGTGCATCCCCGCCGCCGGCTGCTCAGCCTGATGCTGACGGACACGGATGCTCAGCAGGAGCCTGGTCTCGTCCCCGCCCCCGCTCCCGCTTGTGCGGCCGAGGCCCCGCTGGCT